TCTCGTTGGTCTCTGACCCATGGACTAACAGTTTGTTCCATGTCGTTGGCTGCTGGTAAATCAAAACTATCTACGTGATCTAATTGGATGTTGTGCCAGATGCAGGCTCAGTTACACATGCACAGACCACACATAAAATCAGAGCAGTCCGTGTCAACATACTTTTTATCTTTGGGGTTTTTAATGGGAAGTAGCAAGTGCAGCATATATGAATATGAGTATTGGGCTAGGACCTGTATCTATATAATCAGTTTAATGTCCGTAGTGGTTATTGTTCCAAATGTCCTACTGTAGGATAGGGGTAGTATGAGGGGTCTAGGCTTTGGACCTGGGGCAGCTCGCCATCAAAAAAAAAAAACCTGGCCTGTATGAACTGGACCAGCATTAGTAATATCTCATAATTACCAATATATCATTGCATAATAAAATGTCTCATATAAATTAATTCAATCAGTCAAAGCACTGATTCTCATATCAATGCACCATAAACAATAGTGCAAATATTAATCTAGCTTAGTGCACATAATCAAAACAACTATCTAATGTATGCAAACTTTAGCAGGAGGAGCACAGCAAAAACATACTCATAATAATAGGCCTCGGCGCCCACACAGAAAAATATAAGAAAGAGCTAACAGAGCAGCGCAGGCTAGCGTTAGTTTGACTCACCAGTTCCTCTTTAAAACACGGCACACAGTGTGACAACTGCGTCGATTCAATTGTATGAGGCGCCTGTAGTGAAAGCATATAATTACGGTTTGTAGAACAAAATATGACGTTAGGTCGCGATAAATACCTGCAGCTCGCTCATTTCCAGCTCCCCTACGACAACACACCCACCGGTGAATGCAGTCCGCTTGTTTAGGGAAGTGTTGCTGCGCGAACTGCGGGGAACTCACGTTCGAACTCTCGCGCGAGCGCTACAACTACCGCGAGGCTTTGTTTCTTCAGAGACGGCATAGATAGAAAGAGAGATGCGGAGAAAGGTAAAAATGGCCCGGGTTACGCAAGTCTTTACAAGTCAATTGGCGCAAGTCCAAGTGAAAGTCAGAGTCATTGATGTTAAAGTCCAAGTCGAGTTGCAAGTCTTTTTATATTTGGTCAAGTCGAGTCTAAAGTCATCAAAATCATGACTCGAGTCTGACTCGAGTCCAAGTCACATGACTCGAGTCCACACCTCTGGTAAAGTGACATTGTTCTGTAACATTCTGAAGTTGCAGTATTGCACATTGCACATGATTTAAGAATTTGAATGAAATTTACAGGGAGCGGATCCCTTTCTCAATATGGGTCTCCCTGTGGTTTTCCAAGCTCCAGGAGCGGAGCTGGGAATTCTTCCCTGTGGGAGACTGTTGCCGTAAGCAATATGAGGATCAGCTGACATGAAAGAAATCGGAGAGACCTTGGGACTGCTAGATAAGGTCCTGTAGTCGATAGATGGAGACTGTGGATGATTCTTTCACACACGACCGCTATTTATTCGTATGAAATGAAAGTATAGGATTTGCTCATCTGCTCACCAAGATGCTCACGTTGTTTTTTTTATACAAGTGAAACTCAGAAAATTAGAATATTGTTCTAAAGTCTATTTACTTCTGTAGTTCAAGGTTGAGGATTCATCACATGCAAAATGAGATATTTATTGTTAATAGCTTGTAAAAAACCCCAGAGACAACTATCAGGGACATTTATGGACATTTATTAACATTTATGGACATTGGTCATCCCGCCTCCTATGGACAAATGGCTCCTATGAGTTTATTATCCAGGACTCCCTTGAAAAAAATGGTTCTAAATCTCAGTGGGATTTACCTGGTTAGATAAAGGTTGAACAAAATAAATATTATTTCTGTTTGACTCTCTGATCTGTTGTTTAGGAATTGACAACTTTGTCAGTAAGGGCAGGCTTCTTTTGTGTTTTAAACGCCAGGTCCCGGTGCCACAAAAGGAGCCTGCCCTTTCTCAACTTTGTAAAGTCTTCCGAGACGACTGCTGTTGTGATTTAGGGCTGTATAAAACTAGATTGAATTGAAAACATGTCAGAAAAGGATCTGTAAGCCATAATCGTCAAACTTATAAACACTGAAGGACTAGCATACTACATTCACTTTGCACGTGTGAGTCTTATGTTAGTTTCACATTTTAGGTCAAACTTGTGAAAGTTATTCAAATTTTCAGAGTCTTAGCTGTTTTCTTTTTCTGCTTTTTGTACACTTACTTAATTATTCTTTATATTGTTTTTATGAGCTGTTGTGTCTCTGTGGGCGTCGTATGTGTCTCAACTATTAAAAAGTTCAATGTAACAATGATTCTGGAATATTCAGTGTTCTGTCTCTTACAAGGAAACGCTCAGAAATGACAAAATTCACACATATTTCGGAATGAGCTTGTTTTGTTTTGAATCCTCTACATGTTTTGAATATCTCACCATACCATAATCACTTATAATTACACCACATACTGTAGATACAATTCCCAGAAGAGAAACATTTACTATACATAAACGATCCAAGTTAATTATTTTACACACATTTTGTCAAAGAAAAGTCACTTGGGTTACTGCCAGTAATCTCTGTAATCTCTCTCCTTTGTATGATGACACACTACAGAAAAGTACAGAAAAGCGTGTATGTGGTGCATAAGTTACTCTCACATCTTATTTGTTTATTTTTTAAATATCTGAGGTGTCTGGTATGTACAGAACATAGTGCCTAAAATGATAATAAAGAGGACATCTTCTGCGACCCCAAAGAGGGCGTCAAATTTCCTCTTTCTGCTCTTTTTCATTTGTGTGACAGGATTACAATTTTAAGATTTGTTGTACCATGTCCACAATTGAAACAAAACAGATAAATATTGAACCATATCGGATCATTTACTGTAGATTTGCATTGAATTGAAGTCCCCTGTATCTCTGAGCTGAAAGACACCTCGCCTTAGTTTGAACCAAGACCATGTTTTTCCTCATCAACTGAGCAATGAGGTTGGCGTTGCACAAAAGCAGATCTGTTTAAATGCTTTGAATGTGTTTTTGTAGCTGCCCTGTGTTTCCATTTCTTGAACATCAATGTTGTTCCCGGCCCCAAATCAACCCATCCTCAAAAGGCCATTGTGTCCTATTCAATCATTCAAATTCAATTATTATCACAGTCCATAAACAGAGCTCTTCCAGAAGAGTTACAACATTTATTTGTGTTTACTTCAGAAAATGAAAATCATAGGAGATATGACTTAAAACATCAAATAGCACGCACAACTTTAAAACAGATGAGTTTGTCTGTGGTTGGAGTAAAATTGTGGAATTCTGTGTATGTATGTGTATGTATTTGTACATATGTATATATATATGTGTATATATGTATATATACTGCATATATACAATTGTATATAATTGTATGTGCTGATAAAGAAGGCAAAGGAATCAGCAGCAAAACCATCAAATTCTGTTTTGTAAAAAAGGGGGCAGAAAAATATAAGAATTATATTCTTCTATCTGCTCCTTTCTGATCATGGGAATGTTTGAATGATTTGAAACTCGTATAAGATTAATCAAAATAACCTAACCTAACCTGTGTGCAATAAAGGTAAAAAATAAATAAATCTTATGTACATTGTTCTTTTAGATTTAAAAAAAAATCTTATCCAAACAAAAGGAGTGCAACAATATCAGAGTAGATTGCAGATGGATTCCAGGTGAAGGAACGAGCAACAGGTGCAGATGGTTCGTCCCAGAGAGAGAGCAGGAGGGGAGAACTGGGATCATATCAAATCCATTTCCCAAAGAATATAAGCAAGAATTAGCTCGCTGTGCATGTGTGTGTCTGCCTCTAATCAAGTACATGTATATGTGTAGGCACGAAGCACAACAGCAGTGGTCTCCGAGGGTAGTCACATCATTGTTGATAAAAATGTATAAAGCTGTTTGAGTTTTCGATATTCTTAGATGCTACTTGAGCTGCAAAGAAACAGTCCATTAAAAGAAACCTCAAAGAGAACCTCTCCCATGGACTGTGTATTTACACTCTGTGGTTTTCCTCTTTTCATCCTTACATTGTCAATCCCATGTTCTGTTTTTGTTTTTGTTCTGCATTTGGTTTTATTTCTAGTTCTGCGTTTTGGATCCTCCTTGGTCTTCAATATGACAATTTTTCTCAAATATTTTTATGTCTGGGTTTTACTGGGTTGAACTATAGTATTTAATTTTTTGTCCTGCTCTCTGACTTCCTTTTCCCATTTTACATCCTCACACTTTGATTGCCATTTATTTTCAAAACAAATTGATGCGACGGTTATAGTTGCCGCATTCAAACCGTGAGCACCATGTATATATATCAGAGAATCGAAAGGCTCCTATGACCAATGTCCAAAAATGTTGATACAAACTATGAGTCTATAATCAACAAATACTTTGCCTGTAATGAGCCTGTCGCATATTATGTTCACATTATAACTTTAATTAAAGACAAAAAATTGACTTTTGAACAATATTCTAATTTTTGGAGTTTCACCTGCACGGTAGCCCCATTCCATTTCCACTGCAGGGGCAGCAATCTAAGCAGAGACGCCCAGACTTCCCTATCCACACACACTTGCTTCAGTATAAGCTCATACTTTCTTATATAGACAATTTATACAAAGTGAATCATATAAAATTGGCCTACTGAGGCATGGATAACATTACCATTAAATACAGTCGTAATAGTTTAAAGAATGATACAAAATACCAATGATTGAGGATTTTATTGATTACAAAGCAAATTCATTCACAGAAAAATCTGTGCTGAGGGCAGGCAGCGGTGTCCAGTGTCACAACATATCAATCTTTTTTCTTTTTTTTTATCACAATACCTTCTAAACGTTTCATTGTTTCCTCTGACTTTTCTGGATTACTTTTCTGAACGTGAAGATGACTTGCAGGTCCAAACAACATCACCACCGGCACCAACACCAAAGACTGCAGATGGAAGCTGGCATTTCACCATTTTTAGTTTTGTGTTTTTTCAGTGCTTCTTCTTACTGGACTTTTCAATCAAAGTCTCCACCACCGTCGACGTCTCCTCGTAGCCCTTGATTTTGCGATCGTTGGACATCTTCTCCACCGTCTCCCTCACCTCGGTCTTCTCGTAGCTCATTGTGTCCGGACTGAAGCTGCTGCTGGAGGAGCTGGAGCTGGGAATGCGAGGCAGGACTCCCGGAAACCCGCTTTTCTTCCCGGGTTGATTCTCCGCTCCTGGGATGGGCTCTCTCCGTCCGGTGGGTGGTGAAATTGGACCAGCATCTTTGGGTCGTGGATCTCCGCTCTTGTGCCTGGCCTTGCCTCCACCGCCATCTTTTCCCTTGGGTCCTCTTGGGTCGTCCTTTGGCGTGGGAATGGTCGGACTAAGCGGGCGCGGTTGGGGCATGGGTTGCGGCGGGTAAGGAGTTGGAGAGTCGCCGCCGTATCTGTCGTAAGGAGACATGTATCCGTCTCTTATGGTGACGTAGATGTGTCCGGCAGATGGTGTGGTCGTATAGAAGCACGGATCCGGGTAGCTTCCATCGCCGGTCACCAGCACGTACCGACCCTTGGTGTAGAAGTCCGCGATGGGTTCTGGTTTCTTGTACCTTCTCATTCGGTCCCGGACGATGTTGCACAGTGTATCAAACGCCTTGCTGATTTGGGCGCCATCGGGGACGTCCTGCGGGGAAACATCTGCGGATTTTGGGGCCTTTCCCTTCTTGCCCTGGGGTCCTTCGGTGGACGCAACCTTGGTTTCTTTGATGTGGCCTTCTCCAGATGTTTTGTCGTCCTTAGCGCTGTCGATCACATCCCTGGTGCTCAGTTCGCTTCTCTTCACGCCCTTCTTGGCAAGGTTCTTCTGGCGTGGTTTGATGTTGGTGATGTCCTGGAAATCCTGGGTGATGTCTGTTAGAAGACAAAAAGATAGATGAGAGAATAAGAAATCCATGTATACAACTCTTAAAACAAGAGAGGACACGGAAAGCTTAGGGATTCTCGAGTTGCAGCTTGGATTATGAAAAAGATGTGCTTTGGTCTGCTATTACATTAAGACTATTTCAGTTTTTTACTTTATCTTCCCAGATCAGCATTTTCAAGCTTCAAACTGCTTGGCTGATTTTGTGATTGACATTATACCGGCAGATTCTGATAACAAGCATCCATCTAGTTTGCTGCAACTATTGATAATTTTAGTAACCAAGACTTCCATTGATCATCCTCAAGTAATTCATTGACTTTTTTACAGCCTTTTGAAACATCAAAATATCAAACTACTTAATTGTTAAATCAGTGCCGTGTCGAGCCAAGGCTGGAACATTGAATACAACTAAAAAAGTGGGGGTTAGCATTAAAAGTGGGAATGTACCAGGAGCTTAGTGAATAGGAATCATCTCAATCTTGAAGGCAAAATACCCAAAAAAAAAACGTTGGTGGGGAGCGGATATGGACTAGCTTGGATAAAATGTGACGTTCAACTGCTTCTGTTCCACTTCATTGTTCATTGTTGCGAGAGATAGACGTTTTAGTATTTACCCTTTGATATGTTGTTTTCCATATCATGTATTCAAACTATCATGGAATTTGTGTAATTGCTTAGTCATCCAGATTATAGAGTCAACAACCATGTGTGGCAAAGTGGAGGTGACTACGCGTTTCTTTAGTCTCTGGACAGAGCAGTCGCATTCTCTTGCTGCTCCTCGCTTGCTGCTTTTTTATCTCCTTTAATAATTTTTGCTTACATTTTTATTCCACAAAACACGGATTACTCCTTTTTACAAACTTCAACACAAGACTTGTGGAATTTACCTAACTTACAGCATGTCGGGAGGACGGGAAAAAGGAACAAAACTTTGCGACGGCTGTTTTTCACTCAAACAGGAGCTAAAACTTCTTCAAGACCGAATGTTTGTGCTTGAATCAGAATTGGGGCTGAACACAACAATACCAGTGAAGGGAAATGGACCAAATGGACAGAACATAAGTTATGATGACGCTATTTCATTTCCCAAAATCAACAGAGACAATTGTTGGAACACATATGGTGCCAAGCCCAAACAAGGCAAAGCTAATGATAACAAGAGTGTCATAATGCCACAGCAAAAATCTTTGATTACAAGAAACCGCTTTTCACCACTTTTGGAAGATGAATCAGCAGTATCTCTCAGTCTCAGTCTCAGTCAAGGTCAAATGCAGCTGAGTCGCTCTTTATCGGCGATTCTGCGATAAGACATGTAAACATGCGTAATCTCAAGGTTCACTCAGTACACTCTGCCAAAGTGGATGAGATAAGGCGGTTGGCTCCGAGGTTTCTGTCTGAGACCGGCGGGGTAAAAAGATTGTTGATCCACGTGGGGGCAGTAGACATCTATGACAACACAAGTGAAAAGTTGAAACGGGATTACTCTCTCTTATTGGACAACCTTGCTAAAATGGACGCAACAATCGTTATCAGTGGCCCACTACCAAATGTGGACGGGAAGCAAATGAAATTCAGTCGTCTGTATCAGCTAAATACTTTCCTACTCAACGAATGTTCACGCAGAGGACTTGCCTTCATTGAGAATTTTAATCTGTTCTGGAATAGGCATGAGCTTTTTGAAGGGAAAGGGCCACATCTGAACACTTACGGAGTAAAAGTTTTGATGGATAACCTTTCTTTTGCCCTGAGACCTCAGCCTGCGCAGCGCGTGCAGCCATCGAAAGGGAGGAAGCCGACTCTAAAAGTCTCTGCACCTCACACCTCCACCACCACCTCGAAGGATCTCAACACCACCACCACCTCGAAGGATCTCAACACCTCCACTGTCATCAGAAGCAGCTGCATCATCACCAGCAGCAGCTGCATCATCACCAGTAGCAGCACCAGCAGCACGATCACCACCACCAACATCCTCATCCCCAGCCTGCTCCAAAGCAGCCACGCCTTCTTCATCTACAGCGCCTCTGAAGCCCCCATCCTCACCCCAGCCTACAGCAGACAGGCCTGTGCTGGGGTTTCCTCAACCACCTGCCCCTCCATCAAAGACTCCCTCGCCACCTCCCATGGACCTGTCTTGGGTCCCCCCTGCCACGTCCACTCCATCAAGAGAGAATGGGGACACGTCCCTTTGTTTTTCATCCCCGCCTTCACTGTTAGATCTACCTGAACACTCTGCAGGGCTAATAAAATCGGCGATGAAGACTATTCCTCTCACACCCATATTAGCTAGATCTAGAGTCCTGTCCAACATGCTAAACCACTCCCCATAGGTACCTCCAAAACCACCTAGGGTTTCCAATTCACCCTACAAAAACCACCTCAGCCAGTCCCTCCCCTAACCTCATGACAATTCCACCCCCACTTCCCCCTCGTTCAACACCCAAAACCTCTGCCTCAGCCCACTCCGGCCCTAACCCATCACCAAAAACCCCTCCACCTCCCTTTCGTTCAACACCCAAAAGCCACCCACCTCTCCATCCTCCTCCCCCGCCTTCCCCTTCCCCTCTTCTCTCTAAACACTAGGATGCACAGGGTCTCTGCTTCGCAGCCACTGGCAGTCTAGTTAGAGGAGAGACCCGGCTGGGGCCCTGTCATGAAGCCACCTGTGCCATTCCCTTAGTGATAACACAAAGAGTACATTACAGAAAAACATCTGGAGTTAATCAGTCTAATCTGGAAAATCTAATTCTTGTTCCGTGTAAGAATCAGCCGACCACAACCGCTGATACTGAAACTTTGAAACTTGCTACGCTTAATGTCAGATCTCTTTGTAACAAGTCTTTTTTAATCAATAATTTTATTTGTTCTCATAATCTTGATCTTATGTTCATGGCTGACAACTTGGCTTGACCAAAATTCAGGAAATGCAGTTTTAATAGAAGCATCACCACCAAATTTCAAGTTTGAATCTGAAAGACGGGAAAACAAAAAAGGAGGAGGCTTAGCTGCCATTTTTAGAGACCACTTTGTCTCCCATAGAATGTCTCTTGGGAAGTTTTTGTCATTTGAATATGTGTCTTTTAAAATACAACAAAAACAATCTCCTCCAATACTCTTCATTGTCCTATACAAGCCACCGCAGTCATGTCACAGTTTTATTGATAATTTTACCGAGTTGCTTTCAGTTGTATGCACAGATTTTGATAGTTTGGTTATTACAGGTGATTTTAATATTCATGTGGATAATTTTGATGACAGAAATGCAAATGAGCTGAGTTCTGTACTTGAATCCTTTGATCTCACTCAGCACGTAAGTGGCCCCACCCACAGCAGAGGGCACACTCTAGATCTGTTAGTTACTAAGGGGGTGAATATTTCAAATGTAAAAGTGGTCGATGTTGCTCTTTCGGATCATTTCTGTGTTTTTTTTGACATGTGTTTCACTAACAAACCACCAGTGGACTCTTCAACTGTACGAAGAAGACACATAAATGAAAATACGAGTTAACTATTTATGGGAATGATAAACTTTGAGAATGCATCGTATTCTACTGTAGATGAACTGTTTAACTCTGTCACCTCTAGTGTTTTGAATGTTCTGGATACTGTTGCCCCTGTGAAGGTTAAAATAGTGAAAAATAAGCAGAAGGCGCCGTGGGCTAAAGCAGACTCGGTCAGGGCACAAAAGAGAAAGTGCCGGAGGGCCGAGCGGAAGTGGCGCAAGTCCAACCTCCAGGTTGATTACGAGATCTTCAAAGATAAGTTGTGCGAGTTTAACCGGGTGCTACGTAGTACGAGAGAAAGGTATTTTTCTGAAATGATTGAAGGCTGCAGTAACAATCTGCGTGTTCTGTTTTCAACAGTTAATAGATTAACAAACCCCCCTGTTCAGATGCCATTAGAGCTAACTTCCAAACGTAAATGCAATGAGTTTGCACACTTTTTCAATGACAAGGTTCAAGGCATCAAAAACGCCATTGTCTCCAATCCACAGATAACAATCCAACAGCCAGAAAGGCTCTTTGAGCTAACTCACTTTGCACCTGTAGATGATAAAAATGTCCAAGAGATAATCTCCAGTTTGAGCTCCTCCACATGCAGCCTGGATGTACTACCCACTAGATTTCTGAAGTCTGTTCTGAGCAGTCTGTTACCTTCACTCACACAGATAGTAAACATGTCCCTTCATTCTGGAATATTCCCAAAGGCCCTGAAAACGGCAGTCATCAGGCCCCTGCTAAAAAAGAGCAGTCTGGATGCCACTGTACTTAACAACTATCGTCCCATCTCAAATCTGCCATTTATGGGGAAAGTCCTTGAAAAAGTTGTCTACCTACAGCTTACTAGATTTCTTATAATCAACAACTCATTTGATATGTTTCAGTCCGGCTTTAGACCCCACCACAGCACTGAGACTGCTCTTGTCAAGGTTACAAACGATATCCGGCTGAACACTGACGCAGGCCAAGTCTCAATCTTAATCTTGTTAGATCTAAGTGCTGCCTTTGACACCGTCGACCATGAGATCCTCTTACAGAGACTAGAGGACTGGGTTGGCGTCGCTGGCACCGCCCTAAGTTGGTTTAGGTCTTACCTTGAAGACAGGAAGTACTTTGTGGAGATTGGAAACTGTGTCTCAGATCATATGGCCCTGACCTGTGGAGTCCCACAGGGGTCGATCCTGGGACCTCTTCTGTTCAATCTCTACATGCTGCCGTTAGGTCAGTTAATACGCAGAAACAAAGTTTCCTACCAAGTGTCCTATCATAACTATGCAGACGACACTCAGATCTATGTCTCACTGAATGCAGGAGAACATGGACCAGTGGCAGACTTGGAGATTCTTATCCATGCATTTGTCTCCAGTAGGTTAGACTACTCACAGGCTGTAAAACAGCTGCAGTACATTCAAAATGCAGCAGCTCGAGTCCTGACAAGAACCAGGAAGTACGACCACATTAGTCCAGTCCTCAGGTCTCTGCACTGGCTTCCTGTGGCTCAGAGAATAGACTTTAAAACAGCTCTGCTTGTGTACAAGTCTCTCCATGGCCTCGCACCAAAATATATTAGTGACATGTTAGTCCCATATGAACCAGCCCGGACTCTGAGGAGCACAGGGACTGGCCTCCTGTTAGTGCCCAGAGTCAGAACTAAACATGGGGAGGCTGCTTTTCAGATTCATGCTGCTAAAATCTGGAACAGTCTTCCTGAAGATGTGAGACAGGCCTCCTCTCTGACAATGTTTAAAACCAGGTTAAAGACAGTTCTGTTTAGCTGTGCATACAACTGAGGGATTTTATATTTGTATCTTTCTTTTTAATGTTCTGTGATTATTTATGATTAATGCTTTCTTGTTTTGTTCAGCACTTTGAATTGCCTTGTGTATGAATTGTGCTATATAAATAAACTTGCCTTGCCTTGATTTCTTTCCTGAGTTTCCTCGGAAAAAAGAAATAATGGGCGACAACTGGGAGCATTCTCCAGTGAATTCTATTATCAGACGAGTTTGACGAGCCAGAGGAAGAAATTACAGAAAATAACGAAGAAAAAATCACTAACAGACAAGATGAGATTGACAACTTCGTTGCAGACCAGAAAGCTAAAAACACAATTAGGGAAACCAAGTCGGAGATCGATATTTGCATAAATTAAAAAGTCATATAATAAAACATTTATTAACCTCGCTTGCTCGGTCTGTACAGAGGCCTTTTTGCACAGACCTCGCCACGGCTCGTTCTGTACATTAAGGCCGTGGTCTGATATTTCTCCATACAGACCTCGCGCTCGGTTAATAAGCCGTTAATAATTATTATTAAGATACAGTCTCTGACTTTCTGACATACATTTCTGTGTTTTTATTGTTGCATTTCTTGCTCACATTTTGAACTTCCCCTGGAGAGAAAAATACTTTGGAATATAGTAACAAATGGGATTATGTTTGTAATATTTTACTGTACGTCAAGTTCTTGTATTTATTTCACTGGTATTGTTTTGTATATTGTCCTTGTACCAGTGCAGTGCCCAGAGAGTGTGTTCCTTTAGTGCGAACAGCTGTGACGTAGACATTAGAATAAAAGGTCTAGAGGAAAGTGTTCACTTCTTCCTAGGGTCTTCTTTTGTTGGACCTATTGCATCAGTAACCAGCCGCCACCATCTCGCTGCGAGTCTGAGGAGCGTCAGAGCCCCGGGACCAGCACCTTTCTCCTGAAATCATCTCTGACTTTAGCACCAACTCTAGTGCTGGAGATTCTGTTGGATGGACCAGGCCAACTCACAGGACAGACAAACACCACTCATTATTTAGAAAGTGTATTAGGCAGATTCCAGATTTATTTACACAATGCAGTAGAAGAATATGTTAGGTGCAACAGTCTGTGAGGGTCTGCAGCTTTACTTTAGCAAAGTGTTTCTATCTGTCTCACTCCCAGAGCAGCGTGAGACCAGGGCATGAGCCAAGGTCTGTTTTGGAGGGGTAGACCACCTTCAGGCTGCCGTCCAGTTCCTCTGTGCGCAGCTGTGTGACAGTCAGCCCCTGTAGAGCGCTGTTGGACGGGTTGAGATCCTCTCCGTCTGAGCCCGCCTCTTCCCGTCTCTCCGCTGTAAACTTGTTCAGCTCACACATTTTCTGTCAAGAAGAAGATACTTCAGTGAGCCCATTGCACTTAAGTATGAGAGCGTCACACACTGGTATCATACAATCCACCAGTCAGTCAGCTGTTCTGAAAGAATGGACGGACGCCTTCTGTCCCTCTGCCTATCTGACCATGTGTGGAGCACCCATGGATCTATAGATCAAGATAAGATATTCCCATGTTCGTCTCACAGGAGACATTTCCGAGAATATCTGCATAGGGTATTACTAGCTTATAGATAGATAGATAGTTTATTGATCCCTGTAGGAGAAATTCCGGAGTCCAGTAGCAGCAAAAATAAAATTTATCATTCTAAAAAGCTAACAATAGTAATAATCAGCAACAGCCCTTCAGGTCACAGCAGCAGAGATGGGTGGAGCAGGACACGTCACAGGAGCAGAGATGGAGTGGTCTCTGGGTGGAGCAGGACGGGTCACAAGGTGGAGTAGACGCTTGGTTCGGACCATTTTCTCTGCTCTAGTCCAAAGTAAAATGCTAAATGCTTCATTAGCATTATTCAAAAAGCATTCCTCCAGTGGAATTTCACCTGATCCTCCTGATCGGACCATGAATCCTCTCTGCTCTGGTCTGGACCAGTGTAAACCATGAAAACTGTACTGCAGCAACATCTCAGGTACAAAAAAGCTACAAAAATAAAAACTGTTTCCGAGCTACTTAGGACTTGCTGCCTTTTTCCAGCGCATTCAAAAGTAAAAAAGCAGCTGAAGGACCCATGGGCTCGGGGGCTGTAGAGAACCTACAGCTTTCACAAAGGTGATATTTTTGGGGATTTTAGTGTCCTTTTTCATTGGTTTTGTTTATATCCACACGTTAGTGCAACAAACTCGCTTGTTTTTTTCCCCACTCTAACTCCACTCTAGCTCCGCTCTGATCAGCAGCGCCTGATTGGTCAGCACCATGTCAGCACGCGGCCGTGCTCCTCTGTGCACGTGCATGAGAGCCACACACGTGTTTTTGGCGCAACGCATCGTGGAAGCTCGTCCACTGCGCAGAACCGGGAGGACCAGACGATGCCCAAATATAGGTGAGTTCTGCTAATCTCCCGGTCCCCGTGAAGTCCCATGCACTACTGAGCACAAGCCATTCATTTGAATAGGGCGCCATCTTGGATCACCGGGGCTTGGCCCGCACCAACAATAAACTTTGATGTCCATGAGACCCCTGTTCTAGCTGGAACATGCTTCATCCAGCCTTGTTTTCAAACCCATTCTACGACATCAGCAAAGTTTTTTCTACCCCTTTATTAGTCCATTTCTGGGTCGGGGGTGACATTCAGAGCTGCCACCCAATGCTCATAGCACCAGTCCCTCGATGATCCTCCAGCAGGTGGTGAGTTCACAGGAAGATGGATGCTACATCAGTGGTGCCACAGCCTTGGTGTTTCAGTGGGGGCTTCAGGCAATGTGGGGTTTAAGTGTCTTGCCCAAGGATACAACGACAGAAGTCCTCAGTGGGAGCAGTTGGAGAAGGTCCAGTGGTGGGCTTGAACGCACAGCCTTCAGGCTTAATGAGTTTTTATTCTAAAGTCCTTTTGTTTGAATGGCTCAGCTCTTGTTCAGTCCTTGTTCCATCCCTCACCCCCCCCATGTAGATCAGATGCTAACGCCCAGATGTGTGCGCAGGTTAAACCATTCTTAATGATTGTGATAAAAGACTGGAGTTACCAGAATGAGTGCATCCATCACGTCCTTACAGGTCTGCAGGCTGCTGCCACTGGTCACCTCCACAAACAGCTCACACGTGTCTTTACTGATCTGCAACATACATGTTTGATATGAGCAACTGACCACCCTAGCAAAATCATGTAGGATGTGTTGGGTCAAATAGTGTGTGTCTGTGTATCTGTGTATGTGTGTCGGTGTGTGTGACTATGTGTCTAAAAACAGATACATGAGTGTTTTAAAAGGACTTCTGGTCATGTGATCGGTCTAATACAGGCCTGTGTAAACTATGGCCCGGGGGCTGGTTGTGCCCCAAGGGTCAACAAGTTCAGCACTTCGGTCGCCTGTTTGTGTGGTGAAATGAAACCATTTTTTAGTCAGCCCTGGTGAGTTTCTTTCACGTTAAATGTGTGTTTAAAATGAATGAGTTAAGTTATTCTAGGATCTTCTCACCTTGGTGTGCTCACTGTTGGTGATGGGGGGGAAGGACACCACCCTCCCCTCTGCATCCATCAGACAGGGGTACAGCGGCTGGCCGTCCAGGAGCTGCAGGTATCTACACACACATGCACAGAGACATACACAGAGATACAGAGAGAGACAAGTGAAGTTTTAGACAAATCCCAGTGGCTGTTAAGTGTTCAAAAAGAAAAACACTGTTTACACTATCGGCTATCGAATAGGGGTAAACTACAAGACCTACATTTCTATTTAAAGTATATATGTAGTTAACGTTAACCCCGTTTCCACCAGCCCTCCTGCTCGACTCTGCTCTGCTTGTACTGCCATTATGCTGTCGTATCTGGCACACTACCCACAACAAAACTAGTATCCGGGGAAATTCCTTGGTAACCATGGCTTCCAACAGGACTCAGGTCAATCACAGTAAGCAGGAACCCTTAAGTACCAGCTCGGCCTGGATAGAACCAGGGCCAAGGAGAGAAGAGTAGGACCAAGACGGGCTGGTGATAACAGGGCTGTTGGTAAAATCTTAAAGATGTTGCTAAATGTGCCTCCTTTAAAACAGAGCAGAAGCACAAAGGCTAACACATTGCTCGCTGTGTTGTTTGATTATGCGAGTGTGATAAGACGCACTTGTGGAGGCCGGTGACGTTCTGCCTCTTCCTCTGCTTCCTCAGCTCCTCTGCCTCCAGCTGCAGGAGTCTGATGAGCTCCACAGCAGTCATCTCCTTGCGGCCGAGTGCTGTGATCTGAAACAGCATGGGACCCCTGAACCCGGACTCTTTTACCTGCACTTGTGGAGCTACAGACTCAGTCCTGGAGCTACAAACTCAGTCCTGGATCTACAGACTCAGTCCTGGATCTACAGACTCAGTCCTGGATCTACAGACTCAGTCCTGGATCTACAGACTCAGTCCTGGAGCTACAGACTCAGTCCTGGAGCTACAGACTCAGTCCTGGAGCTACAGACTCAGTCCTGGAGCTACAGACTCAGTCCTGGAGCTACAGACTCAGTCCTGGAGCTACAGACTCAGTCCTGGATCTACAGACTCAGTCCTGGAGCTACAGACTCAGTCCTGGAGCTACAGACTCAGTCCTGGAGCTACAGACTCAGTCCTGGAGCTACAGACTCAGTCCTGGATCTACAGACTCAGTCCTGGAGCTACAGACTCAGTCCTGGAGCTACAGACTCAGTCCTGGAGCTACAGCCTGTCTGCCCGTGGGAGCGGATCCCTCTCTCAATATAGGCCTCCCTCAAAGTTTTTTCCACTAGTTTTCTGAGTAGTTCCTAACTGATATAGGAGGGTATAAGGACAGGTAAAGGTGCACTTTATTGATCCCCGTAGGGCAATTCATCCTCTGCATTTGACCCATCCTGATGCCACTAAGGCTTACGTCAGGAGCAGTGGTCGCCATAGTAACAGCGCCCGGGAACCCATCTCCAGATGTTGGTGCTCGGCTTGGTCAGGACTACCGGAGCTGGAGGATTTAACCTAGTGAGCATGTTTTTAGTGGTAGGGGAAACCGGAGAACCCGGAGGAAACCTACACTATCACCTTCTTGCTGAGAGGCGAGAGTTCTATCCACAGCCATGATGATTCCAGCACATTTATGAAAATTTCTGGACAGTGGTCATCCCGCTCCCTATGGACCTATGGCTCCTCTGTGTTTGTTATTATTGCATTTCCTGTGCTCGAACAGTTAAATTCTCGGATCTGTTGTTGGTGAATCCACAACTTACTGCTGTTGTGTTTTAGCACTGGATGATTTAGACAAAATTGAGGAGTTTGCATGTTCTCCCTGTGTCTGCATTGGTTTCCCCCATAGGCTCTGGCTTCCCCTACCACTATAAACATGTACATTTGATCAAATCCAGCTCTGGTGGCCAATGCTCCTGACAGAGGCTTGAGGAGTGCTCAGGATGGATTTCCTTACAAGTATTATTGTGTGTGTGTGCGCACTGACCTTCAGCTGGGTTGGAGGTTTCACTCCGTAGGTCAACGGGCCCTTGAGCAGCCGCATGTCGTGAGTGGCGATAGTAGCAGTGGTCCTCTTCCCACATATATCCTCATGGAGCTTAGTCTACAAAAACAACATGTTTAGGGTTGGGTTAATTGTAGATTAGATTAGCCTTGTTGTGATTCTTAAAGAGAATGTTTGTTAAGCTTGGCCCCAGTGCAGAGGCAGGGCAGCTTTAGCTACAAGTACAATCAACACCTTTTTAAAGTGGACTTAAATCTCTTAGTCCTGCAGTAATAAAGTAATGTTTCTTTTCATACACACTTAGGACCTTGTAATCTTCAACATGGCTGGGTTTTCCATGACTGTACAAACTCTTGTTAAATCTACACGCTTCAGTGTTCCATTTATGCACCTGCAGTAAGCGTCAGAGAGGAAGAAAATAAGTGTACTATTTAGTTAACGTAGCTTTTTCAGATTTTCATGTCAAGTCATCATTAAATGGCCCGAATAGGTAAAAAGGCATTAATAAACCATGCTCTTTTCGAATACTTTTTAAACGATAACAGTAGTTCAGTCGAGATATTTGTTTTTCAAAATTCCGGTCGGCCAAAGCAGACTTCAGAGATCTGTGTATATTTTGTGTGATCCTTGTGCGCTCTTACTACTGTTGTGTCAGTGGGCTGCAACACTGAAATGTCCTCAATGTGGGACAAATGAAGCTCATCTTATCGATTACATCATAACGTTGACATCCACAGTCGAGATACACTTGCCTGCGCCACGAGGAACCTCTTGAGGGCGTTCCCAGGCTTGAGCAGCAGTCCCTGGACGAGGCAGCAGACCAGATAAGGCCGGACCTGCTTGACCTCTGGGCTGACGGTCACCGTGAGGGCAGGAGGCCTGGACGAGACATGCAGCACGCGGACCAGAAGACCAGCCACCTCCTCAGTCTCTGTGTCTGCTGCCCCCTGTGGGCAGACAGAGAGACTTTACACTCTACTGGAGGAGTTCAGAGAAAAAGCAATGGTACAAAACAACACATGGTCAAAATGTATAGTATAATATTGTGTGTATGTAAATCAAATGAGGCCATGTGTGCTGAACGGGGAGGAGGACACGATCGGTCGGCCTTGAACCAGGCGCCTCACCAGGCTGACCTGGATCACCTCAGGATTCCCCCGAATGAGCTAGAGGAGGAGCTGGGCAACAGATGGATTCTTTTCATGTCACTTTTTTGAGACATCTTTGTGATTGTAGCAGCAAGGTGGTGCAGTGGTTAGTACTGGAGTTTGCATATTCTTCCCGTGTCTTTGTAGGTTTCCTCTGGGTGGTCCAGTTTCCCCTACCACTACATGCATGTACTTCGTCCACGCTTGTGAGTCTATTAAAACGTTACAAATGAAATCACAGCAAAAACATGTATTCTTTTTGGATAAATTAAGGTCTATTGGTATTTATCTCAAGCAAAATAAATAAGATAAACTTTAGGTCTATACATCCTGGTACACACTGGGGAACACGGTATGCCTGTTTGTAATCCATTTAAATATTGAAATACACAAATGTGTGTTAGTGCTGCATAGTGTTCAGTGCGGATTTGCCCCTTTACCTCAGGAGAGCTGCCCTTCTTCTTTCCCTGGAGCCTCTTGCTCTTGTCAGCCTTTGTGGGCCCGTCGCCGCCCCCTTCTGGCCCCACACGGCTCTTTCCTCGGAGGTACTCCAGCACAGACTTCGTCTGACAGCCGTTCACCATTTTCTCCAAGCGCCGGTCCCGCAGCTTGTTCCCTTCAAGATCATATAATTTAGTTGGAGCACTTTTAAACAGCACAATTATATCTGGGGTCTTTGTGGTGAACAAAAGCTAGCATTTTATTCAGAAGCCTCAGAATGATGAGGGCTAAACAGTATTAAATTGTGCGCAAAAATGAATATGAACCTTTAAAGTTGATTTCCTTGAGTTTGGCGCAGTCGCTCAGAGCAGTAGGGATCTCACTCAGCTTGTTGTTGGACAGGTCCAAGGTCTGAGAAAGAAGGATGAGTTAGAATTAGTGTAGCTGTCACAACAGATTCATTCTGTCTGCTCTGCTCCGAGTCTGCTCTACATAAACGTGTTCATGTAGAGCAGACTCAGAGGCAAATGTGTCTGCATCCTTTTACTTTCCCTCGCCGGTTTAACAGCAGAGTCAGAACACTCATTCATGAAGCTAGCTGCACATCCTCTGAGGCCAAGAACCTAATGAGTTATTTCTTTGCCAGGTGCTCTGCAGGAAAACTAACCACACAGTTCATGTGGCAAAAATGCCATGTAAAATGTGACGAATATCAGCTCTGAGACTGAGAAACATGATGACCATTTGTGTAAAAGGTGGCCCCAGTCAGACACTGAAAACTAAACTACACCCTTTAAATGAACAAGCACTTCTGGGTATCATGTCATTTTGGTGATGATTATAGTATTTACATATTTACAAATGGACACCCACAAGTGCACGGAGCAGCACAAAAACAACATGATAAGTTTCTAAATTGTATTGTATTGAAAGTGCATCGAATCAGCCCCAGCCCGACTTGTCAGACTAGTCTTCTGACCTTGAGCGCTGGCAGACGGTGCACGTCGGCGCTCAGCTCCTGGATGAGGTTGTCTGATGCCAGAAGAGTCGCCAGCAGCTCCAGGCGGTCCGTGCACAGGTCGGTGGGCAGGCTGCAGAGACGGTTCTTGGACACGTTCAGGGTGGACAGTTTGGGACAGTGACTCAGTCCCTCGGGCAGCGCCTCCAGACGGTTACAGCTGACGTTCAGGCTGCTGAGCTCTTTCAGGCCGCTCAGACCCTCAGGTAAACAGGTCAGCTCGTTCACAGACAGGTCCAGGACTTTCAGGGCCTGGGGACAGAGGGGACACGGAAACCATAACAATTAAAGTATGCATTCCTTTGTAACTTATCATAAGTTACTTATCCTATCCTAACCTGCAAAGGGTTCAATGTGGTTAAATAAAACTTGATTCTGTTGTTTGTTTTGCAGAAGGATGCAGAATACATTTGTTAATGCTGATGTGTTGTACTTGTGTCAGTGACATAAAAGTAGATTAAATGTATACAATTCATCCATATTTGCTGAACAGACCTACTGATAACTCGTAAACACTTTTCTTGGTCAACTCCCCCTAAGGACCAATACCTCTGTGTACTATATTCTTTGTGTTTGAACTGTGTGATTCTCTGATAACTACTGTTGTGATTTAGAGTTGTACAATCTCAGGGGGACATGGGGCAAGTCGGACACAGCCATGGCTTTGATCTGTGGGTCAGAGGATCCCAAATCTTTCAACAACAAAAAAATCTAAATCAAACTGGGGTTTAGTGTCACAGCAGTTTAAGCCAGGAAACACACAGACGCATCTATTTCATCATCCCAGACAAAACAGGGTCTGAGATGATGAAATAGATGCAAAAACGAAGGAGAAATGAAGACCACATTTGTCATCCCCCTGAAGCCCACCTGCAGGGAGTCCAGGCGGGGCACAGACATCAGCTTGTTCCTGCAGAGCACCAGGCTCTGGAGGCTGGTCAGCAGGCGGAGGTCCTCATGGAGCTGCGTGAGGCTGGGACACTGGGACACCTCCAGATAGTTGAGCAGAGTCAGGGAGTACAGGGCAGAGGGCAGGCCTCCCGCAGAGCCCACCCTGCTGTCCACAGGAGCCCCCTGTAGCACCAGCTCACGTCTCTTTTCAGAAGCTGCTTTCACGACCTCTGGCCACTGATGCGGGTCCATGCTGGCTGTTCCAATGCCCGCTTCTTCTTCGAACACTTTACGGCAGGCTGTACCATAGACTGTACACTGGTTTAGCTCAATGCTTCTGTCAATGCTCCAATTCAAGACACTATGCGGTATGCGCATGCGCGAGACTCCAACTACGGTAGCAGTGAACGGACAAACGTGATTGTGACGTCTTTGACTTGCGTTAAATTTACAGTCTATGCTTGTGTTGCATTGCTGTGAAAGACGACTTCTAACTCTACCCACCATCGCAATATGTATAGCGTTTTATTTATTGCATACATAGGAGGACTGTGGTGATGTCCAGGACACTTTAACATTCTACAACATGTATGACATTTATCAACATTCATGGACATTGGTCTCTCCCTATGGACCTATACATGTGTTCTGTGTTCGGGAATTTTTAAAGTCCTCTGAAATTTTGTGATATAGGGCTATACAAGAATGTTTTGTATTGTATCGTACATATATCAAAATATGTAAATAATTCAATAAATTAAGGTTTATTAAATTTTCTTTTCTGTGACACTTGCCTCAATAAACTACTGAGCTATTGACAGAAGACTAGTGGCAAGATAAAAGCTAGGGCATCTATCGGCTTTCTCGTAATTGGTTGTTATGGATTTGTTTTAAACATTTATACATTTGGTGAAAAATGTGCAACTGTTTATTACAGCATCATGTGAACAGTCATTTCAACAGGGCACACCTCAGAAACTGTAAAAACATTGTCTGACTTTACAAATGACATTTTAGTAAACCTGCAAACAGTGGTTTGTAAAACATATGGTTTAAAGTGAAATGCTTTTGACTAAAGCATAGGCAAAAAGATGTAATCTGAACATGGCACACCTCAAATGGTGTTATAACGCTGCTTGATTTGACAGATGTCACAAAGCATTGCACTAATTCTAACACTAACATCTAAGTAACAAAGTATGCTTTGCCTAAAGAGATATATCATGTACTATGCACAGTGCTTTTGGGGAAAAAAATCTCCTTATTTCTAAATGTGTTCAGTTTGCTGTGCCAGTCCATCTAATGCAGAGAGCAGTTGACTGATTTGAAGAGTATTTCGACTTTTTCAACCCAGCCCTCTGATATACTGCTGTAGAAGGCGCAGACTCTGATTCTCAGCTTGGGTTGTAGGGGATGCATCCAAAGCTTAATAAGCTTTTTTGCTGTTGTGTTTTACCCTTATACATTAGAATCACATCTTGAGTGCTATGAAAAGCAGCTCGGAACAATACAGCTGATTATGTGCTACTCTGAGAAGTATGCCTCCTATGTTGTCTCTTTTTAAAATACTTGTTACATTTAACTGATCCAAAAGATCAAGTGGGTCATCTTTCTCCTCATCTGAAAGGTTGTATTTTAAGGCTTAGTGAGCAAATCCCTGTCTGAATGGTTAATGTACAGGAGGAAGTTTTTTAATTGCATATCATCTGAGACTTCCTTCTCACCAAAGATGACGGTGACAGCAAAAACAGAAGCAAGGCTTCTGGTGTTAAGGTTAACCCTGAGTTTGTGTTGTAGCCGATGATTTGAATCAAATGTCAAGCACTGGTCAGCGTGACTTTCTGAACTGACCAGTACCCCACAAGGCCCACCCCCACTACCTCGGAGGGAAAGGACAGAGAAACCAAACATGTTCAGAGAGCACTTTCCAGATCTGGCAAACCCAAAGTGTCTTGCCCAAGGACACAGCCACAGTCTGGCTCTTTACAGCTTTAGCCACCGCACTGTGGCACCTGGTGTTCCCAGAGATCTCCCATCAGCCCTGCCCTGCCCTGCTTAGCATCAGAGGTCTAACAGGATCTGGCTTTCACCTGCAGGTATGGCCAAATGAACTGATCCAGTCTGGGAGGAGGTACACGATTCTCTGTGAGAACGCAACAGGTTTCAAAACTCTTTAGAGCCTCAGTCCATAAAACTGTTAAATAGTACTGACTGATTGTACTCATGTGTCAACCTGTGATGCAACAAGATGTGCTTTCTCTGCTGTAATGTGCGCAACGATGACACTGACATTTCTCCACTGCGAGACGAATAAAGGTTTATCTTATCTTACCTTATTGGAGGAAGTGTCTGTACAAAATTGTGTAAAAAATGTGTGTTTGTATGTTGTCCGTCTATACTTATTATCTGTTTTTGAGTGACAGCATGATCCATCTATTTCCAGATTCAGGCGCGTTTCAACTCTTTCAAAGTGTTATACCTTGTTTTGGTTGGGTTCATCCTCCCTATTATTGGTCTTTGTATCTCTGTATCTTTTGTTGTTTTTTAAATATTTTTACTTGTTTTATAATAGGGCTTTTTTATAAACTCTCTTGCCAAGAAGAAATAAAATTGACCTTCAAAAAGGTCAACAGTGGTAAAAAAAATTGCAGACAGAATTTTGCTGTAAATAGCAACAGCTTCTGAGTTTGCACGTTCTCCCCATGTCTGCGTGGATGTTCTCTACCGTTAAGCATGTGTTTACAGCACTAGTGGTTCGTTGATCTACACTAACCTAGTTTTGTGTTTCGAGATTCTTTGGCTGTGATCAAGTCAATTCAATGTGTGTCTGTCGCCCTAAATCACAACAGCAAATTCACAAATAACAGAGAAGATCAGATTCAGATTCATTTATTTGCCATTTGCAGTAAAACCTCATTAGAAAAACTGTGCAAGACTACCCCAGTGTGAGAATAAAACAATCCAAACACAGGAAATGCAATAATAACAAACACATAAAAGCCATTGGTCCATAAATGTAACGGATCATCACTGTCATGTCCAGGGCGAGTCACTGGATGGGAATGCCTTCACCAAAAAAAACGACTTCCTTTTGCTCCGGTTCTCCGTGTTTATCCACATCTCCCGCCTCTCCTCTCTCACACATGATCAGATTGTGCTTGTGGTTCTTCTTGGCACAGAGCAGGTGAGGAATGTGCAGCACAGGAGCCCCTCAGTGGGCGCTGCAAGGGGATCGGCTGCAGACGGACAGGTTCTGGAGGACGGACGGCGTGCACAGATCGCCGTGTTGGCACGCATCACACAGGAGACAGGGAGAGGCTTTGTTACTGCACTAATCCCACCGTGAGCTCCTCCAGGCTGGGTCGACCCTCTCTGGTCCGGAGGGAGAGCCCGGGCAAACATGAGCTGGAACACAAGTAGCTTAACACTGGCATTACCTGTGAGGGACCAGATATGCACTTTTGTTAATTGCATATTTGGGTTTATAAGTTCTGATTAAACAGTACACTGGTCTCTCGCTACGAGGCAGTACACCTGGCCTTGCCGTTTCACAGATTTGTTGTGCAATTGTGTTTGTTTGATCATAAACTACAAATAACCGCAGATACTGTACTTTATAATTTAAGTCAGAAGAGAACTATGGTTTTTCTCTGGCCACTCTCTCTGATAAGTAAGTAATGTTTATTTATATGGCACATTTTACAGACCAAGGTCACCCAAAGAACTTTACAGTGTTTCCATCCACACACGGTGATGACGGAAGCCAGACCCCAAACACACTGAAGCATCAAAGCCCCCAACCAACACCATCCATTACTTTTATACTGTACAGGTTTTTCGTGATAGGGGAGGTTGCCCGGAGGAAACCTATGGAACATGTAAACTCCACTCAAAAACTCCTATTCCGACCAGGATTTGAACCCACGACCTCCTTGTTGAGAAGCATGAGTGCTTTCCACTCAGCCACTGTGCTGAGCGGAAAGCACTCTCTAGTCTCTCTAGAGACTGATATCTCTAGTCTATCTCTGATCTCCTTTTTTCTAATTCTAAATACATGAGAAATCAATATTACATTTAGCATCAACACAAAATAAAAAACACAACCACTGTCTAGGAAGGATGAGGAATGCAGCCCAGGAACAGTTTCCGCAAACATGGCTCTGTGGGGAATTCACACCTGTAAGGTCTTTTATCAGCGGTGTTTTCAGAAGTAAAAAACAATGACAAGACTTTTCTGTTTTACCAAGTTGCATGTGTCGGCTACAAGTGTGCACCGTGGAAACAGTGTGCTTGTGTATGTGTAGATGTATGTGTATGTGTTTGTGTGTATGGTTCCACCAGTGCAGTGTGTAGTTATTGCGCAGCCCATTGCTTATATTCCCAGATCACATTTCAACGTCGTCCTGTTTACATTTTTTGTCCTGTGCAGCAGCCCAATGCATTACACACACACACACACACACACACACACACACACACACACACACATGCTTATGTTGTGTTTAGTAACTCCTCTTATCCGTTGTTGGCGAACCCACTGTTGTGATTTAGGGCAATACACAAACCCTAAACCCTAACCCTAACCCTAACCCTAACCTTAACCCTAAACACATTGAATTGAAAATGAAGACAATGAGGACTGAACTGTGTTTAATGGAGCGGTGCAGTGACTGATTCTGCCAGAGGAGGGCCCTGTGTCCTCAGTGTTCTGTGGCATTTGGCTTCCGCTTGAGTATCATGTCCTCCTACTGCCCCCACCCCAACCCGGCAACGGATAAAGCGGAAGAAATTGAATGTATGGATGGATGGATGGATGGATGGATACACTAAAATCAAAGTAACAAGTGAATAGTACAACCTTAGCTGTTACATGACCCGCATATGAACGGTCTCTGTCTCCTCTGTCCTCGTGGACTCAGGTCCAGATGGACTTTTTTGTTATTCACTTTCAAATAGTTTATTTTGAAATCCTACGTGTAATCATTGTGCTTTGCTCCGCTGGACTACAAAGCCCAGAGGCGTTTATAAAAGTTGTCCTTAAAGGCTTATAACACTGTCTGTTCTCACGGCAATGCACGGCAAATTTCTGTAGCTAATGTCCTCCTTTAAGTGAGTCAAACGACAGAGGCCAGTGGATTAAAACAGGACTGGACCATGTTTGACTGAGGTCTGAACCAGGGCTGGACCAGGACTAAAAGAGCAAAACAAATCACAGACTTTCTGATTGATATAAAAGGGTGGGACAGCTAAGTGAAAACAATAACAAGATTTAGGGGCTGTAAAAATCATTTAGAAATTTGAATATCCCAGCATAACTACTTTTATCATTTAAAGTATTTCAAAAGACAATGGTTTATTACAGTTTTTCTCGGTGGCTTTGGTGCATTTCTTTACATCATTCTTCACATTTGCACAACAGTTTGTGCATTTCTCAGAACAATTAGTGCAAACTGCAGAACCTCGTGGATATCCTGCAAAAGTGCGTCACTTTCACAAAATGAAAAGTTCATTCCTCAAAAGCAAGTCTTCATGTCAATGAAACTTTCTGTGTCGTCAAAATAATATGTCCTAACAACATTGAGTATGAACAACAGTCATGTTTTCATTGTGACACTTTACTCTCTCTGTGTTTTCAGTGTAAAAAAGTCAGATCTCGGTGACACTTGAGCACGACTATGAGCGCACTATACACGCAGCCATTTACAGTAAAAACTACAGTAAAGTTACACAAAGACTGTATTTAGAGACATAACTGACATTCTGTAACATATATGTATGTACTGTATGTATCTATGTATTTATGCACTGTATATATATGTACTGTATGTATATGTATGTATGTATGTATGTGTACTGCATATGCTCTTTGTATTTTTGTTGCACAATGCTGTAGAATTGCAGGCACATACATGTACAGTATATACATAGAAAAAAACATACAAGAAACATCATTATGGTAGAACTGTGACAAAAATAAACAATAAAGTACACCTCCTGAGTGAAGCTGAAATTCACCTGAGAGAAATTGTTCAATTTAGGTTTAAGATTTACAGGAAAAAAAAGATAAAGGAATGTATGAAATTAGCCTGACAAATATTGATTCTGATTTTGAACTAGTTCAACAATTTTGTATGTGATGACCAAGGCGATGAAATGAGGACTATTGGTTTTATAATGAAAGACTGATCAGAAGTGATGAGTATGTTTCCTTTGACAGGACAGAAGAAAATGATAATGATAAAAAAACGCTGAGAACTGTATGAAAGTAACTGATATATGAACAAAAGCATTTGTAATCTGTTCAAAGGAGAAACTGCTGCGATGATGTCACACATGACTCAGTGTTGTGGAGGTTAAACTAATAGTTTTGAGAACTTTAAGTCTGATCTGAGAAATGCACCAAAGCGACTGAGAAAAACTGTAATGACTTTTGACATTTTAGGGCCATTTAATGATGACTTGACATGAAAATCTTATATATTTCTACTTTAACTATGTATTAGAAAGTTAGTTTACAGGAGTATGCAGCTTTATGTGTAAATGTGAGGGATTAAGATAGGAGCCCGCTTTGTGATGGTCAAAATGGTAAAAAATATTTGTAGGTGTTCTGTGGTTTGTTTGTTTATGTATTTCAAGTAAAGAAAAAATAACATTCACAGTCAATTACACAACATACAATAAACTGAAACACGACACAGGCCCCAAACACTCCGACCATACACCCCTGTGCCTCATGCAAATACACGATAAACACAATGATGTTCTCAAACCAGTACTCCAAAGGTGACCTGAGATGCTCTCTCGCTGGACAGTGCTGTGGTCACATGACTCACTGAGGGGTTCATTGGCCCTGGCTCACCCCATGGAGGTCGCGTCCAGGGCTGCCTCCTGCTGCCCGCTGCTGAGGTACTGTTCAATCAGCTGGTCCCGGCCGGGCTGGGGGCGCACAGATGTTCCCCCTCTCACTGGTCAATGGCAATCCAAACTTAACTGGATAAAAACAAAAATAAGTTTTAGGAGGATTCAGTTTCATGCTGGGTCCTCTCATAGTTAGATAGATAGATAGATAGACAGATTCAGATTCAGTTTATTTGCCATTTGCAGTAAAAAAACCACATTGGAATACATTAGTGAAAAGTCTCCAGTGTGCACAGACAAATACAGACATAAAACAACATTAGAAGTACGGAAATAAAACAAATAAAACAGTAAACAAATGTCACTGTGAAATCGATCGGCTAAAACAGTTTCAAAACAAGTGCAAATCATTAAAGTGCTCTGTTCACACTGATAACAGCTTGTGGATAAAAACTGTTAGCGTAACGAGATGTCCTGCATCTCAGAGAACGATATCTTCTGCCAGAGGGAAGAAGCTGGAGCATGGCTTTCCCAGGGTGGCCAGAAGAGTCATTAACAATCCTAAGAGCTTTGTTTAAAAGTCTGGATTTATAAAGAGCCTCCAGAACAGGAAGCTCACAGCCCACGGTCCTCTTTGCAGAGCGGAGCACCTTGTTTAAAGCTCTCTTTTCTTTATCTGTGATGTTTCCAAACCACACAGACACAGAACCAACAAGTAAACTCTCAATGGTGCAGCGATAAAAGTTGAGCAGAATCTTAGAGTTAGTGGTAAATTCTCTAAGTTTACGCAGAAAGTAGAAACGCTGACGAGCTTTCTTAACGACTCGGTCAGTGTTTTTAACCCATTTCAGGTTAGACAGAGTTAAACCCAGAAACTTGCACTCCTCTACGATCTGCACTTGGGAGTTGTCGATTACGACAGGCAAATGAGAACTATTGCGACTGAAGTCGTTGACCAGTTCACATGTTTTCGATGCGTTCAACTGGAGGTTGTTAGTTTTACTCCACTGAACCACATTTTGTATCTCTGCTCTATAAGAGGATTCATCATTGTTACTGATGAGACCGATGATGGTGGTGTCATCAGCATATTTAATGATCAAGTTTGAGTCAGAGGAGGACACACAATCGTGAGTGTACAAAGTAAAAAGTAAAGGACTACATCCCTGAGGAGAACCAGTGCTCACAGAAACAACATCAGAAAAACAGTAATTGATTTTCACTCTCTGAGATCTGTCAGTTAAAAAGCTAAAAATCCAGTTACACATGGCAACACTTAACCCGAGAGACATGAGCTTTTCCATCAGTTTACCTTGGACAAGGCAGTTAAAAGCAGAGCTATAATCGATGAAAAGCATTCTCGCCACAGATTTACTAGTGTCCAAGTGACTGTAGACAGAGTTCAGAGCAAAGGAGATGGCATCCTCCACACTCCTGTTCTGTCTGTAGCAAACTGGAGCGGGTCAACACTCACAGGGATCTGGCTCTTAATGAAGTCCAGCACAAGCCGCTCAAAAGTTTTCATAAGAACAGACGTGAGGGCCACAGGACGATAGTCATTCAGGCATGTCACAGGAGTTTTCTTAGGAACTGAAATGATGGTCGACTCTTTAAAGCAGTCCAGCACAGTACAGTTTCTTAGCGACAGGTTGAAAATGTCTGTTAGCACAGGGGCAAGTTGCTCAGAGCACAGTTTCAGGACACGAGGAGGGATGCCGTCCGGGCCTGGGGCTTTCCGGACTGTGGTCCTGGACAAGACACGCCTGACATCCTCCTGAGTCACGGTGAAGGTACCTTGATTGAAACACTCAGGGAATAATTTTCTCTTATGCATCTCATTTTGTCTGTATATTTATTTTGCCTTTTTATTTATTTATTTTTTTTTATCTTTTGTTGCAACTAATGACATATTTCACATGGGTGCTTTAAAAATGTATAAGTGTATATGCTCAACTGAACCATACATATGTAAAAAAATATATATATATATTGTTCTTTGTTTACAAAGTCTGTACATTCACAGTGCAAAATAAAAACAAAATAAAGTATAAAAAAAAAAGAAACACTCAGGGAATACAGTAGGACAGGCATCCGCGGATTCAAAGCGACAGTAGAACGTGTTCAGCTCTTCCTCAAAATACAATACAATACAATACAATACAATTTATTCTTGTATAGCCCTAGGTCACAACAGAAGTCATCTCAGAGGACTTAACAAAACCATTGAAATCACCAACACAGGTCAGAGAATCAACAGTTAAAACACATGAAGAATATAAAGCACACACAGAAGAAAATGTCCATACATGTTGTAGAATGCTAAAGTGTCCTGATCATCACCAATCCTTTCTGTTGGACACTAACTGTCCAACAAGACCCTCCTGCATCGACAAGGAAAAACTCTTAAAAAACCCAGTGGGAAAAAGTGAGAAACCTTGGGGAGAACTAGGGAAACCCACAGGGAGGGAGACCCATATGAGAAAGGGATCCGCTCCTCCGCACGGACAGGCTAATGATCTAGGACCTAAGCTAGCTACAGAACGTGGACCAGTGGCCGCTGAACGTGGACAGGTCCGGTGCAGGACCGAAGCACTCCCAGGCGGGTCGGGCGGGGCAGTCCGCAGGTGCAGATGGAGGAGGCCAGGCTCAGAGATCCCGTCATCGTACCATGAAACAGACAATGGGACAACGGGTGAATAGCAATGAACAAACTACAGTCAGAATCCTAAAAGTGTTAAACAGATAAAGTAGATAAAGTAGGAAGGAGGAGAGGAGTGCTCAAGTTACCATACTTCTCCCAGCAAACTGACTCCCTATGCAGCTTGACTGACACTCTGAGGAGTTTAACCTTCTCCGAGTCTTACCTTCCTAGCCATATGCTAAACTAAAGAGGACTGTTTTAAACCTAGCCTTGAATAAAGAGATTCATGGATTGCACACCAGGTGTGCAAACCGATCCAAGCAAACCCAATTATATTATATATCAATATAAAATAACTCTTTAACCTGTCCCCGTAGATAGTTAGATAGATAGATAGATAGACGGACGGATAGATACTGTAGATAGATAAATAGATAGATAGATAGATACTTTGATGATCCCCGTAGGAGAAATTCCGGTGTCCAGTGGCAGCAAAAATTTAAAATAAAATTAATCATTCTAAAAAGCTAACAATAGTAATAATCAGCAACAGCCCTTCAGGTCACAGCAGCAGAGATGGAGTAGCCTCTGGGTGGAGCAGGACGGGTCACAAGGTGGAGTAGACGCTTGGTTAGGACCATTTTCTCAGCTCTGGTCCAAAGTAAAATGCTAAATTCTTCATTAGCATTTCTCAAAAAGTTAGCATTCCTCCAGTGGAATTTCACCTGATCCGCTTGGTTCGGACCACGAATCCTCTCTGCTCTGGTCTTTACCAGTGTAAAACCATGAACACTGTACTGCAGCAACATCTCAGGGAGAAAAAAGCAAGAAAAAGAAAATTGTAAAGCACA